CTCGGCAATGGGAAGTTGTCTTTTGGGCATGCTTTGTTGAGATCAGTGTAATCGACACAGACTCTCCACTTGCCCTTCTCTTGTTTTGCTACTAGAACAACGTTGGCAAGCCACTATGAGTAGGAGACCTCTTCAATAAAGCTGGCAGCTAGGAGTTTGTCAATCTTGGCTTCGATGATAGCGACTCGCTCGGGTGCGAAGTTGCGTCTCTTCTACGCCACTGGCTTGCAGGTAGGGTTGACATGGAGTCGGTGACAGATGATTTTCGAGTCGATGCCAGGCATGTCTGACGACGACCATGCGAACATATCTTTGTTATTCTGGAGGAAGGTAGTAAGCTCCATCTTCTCGTCTGGGCTTAGGCGAGAGCCGATCTGTGCTTTTTTGTCTGGCTGATCAGGATCCAAGGGTATTAACTCGACGTCTTCCCCAGGTTTCCATCCTTCTTCAAGAAAGACCTCTGGACGGATTTCCTCGGCTTGGTCCTGACGCTTTGATTGCTATAAGATAGCAAGATTCGGTTGTTCAACTTCCTTTAGATCTGCCTGGCTCACAGGGAGGAATTGCGCTTGTTTGCTTTTCTTTAGCCCTTGGGCGGAGCATTTCCTCGTCATTGCCTGATGGCTGTTGATTTGGCCAACACCGCCCCCAGGGATTAGGTACCGAATTTTCTGATGTGTGGCAGAGGTGATGGCGTTGATCTTGCCAATCCATGGCCTGCCCAGAATGCCGTTGTAGGGTGAGACCTCATCAATGACCATGAATGTTTGCAAGCAGACTACAGGTGATGAGTAGACGTCGAGGTCTATCGTGCCCACGATAACCGTTGTTGCACCATTAAAGCCGGTCAGCGATCTGGCTGATTTGTTAATTTTTGCCTCCAAGCCCATCTGCTAGATGACAGCTAGCTGTAGGATATTGGTTGCGTTGCCCTCGTCTGTATGGATTCGGTCGACCATGGACTGTGCGATTTGAATGCTAATGACAAGGGCATCATTATGTGGCATGTAGAGGCCGATCAGATCTTTCTTTTGGAAGTCGATTACAGGATCGTCTTTTGCTGGTAAAAGGCCAGTCGAGACTTGGAAGATCATAGTGGCCTGTTTGATCTTCCTCTTCTTTTCCTTGCTGGTCAGCCCTGACTCCTTGGCGTCAGCTAGGATTGTGTTAATCCTTATGACCTTCTATGGTGGTTCCTTGGCGGTGTCTCGATCTTCAATTGATCGTTGGATGGCCTGCTTCACGATGAACTCCGTGCAGTGACCTTTTCTCACGAGTTCTTCAAGGTGTTCTTTCCAAGCGAGGCAGTTGTTGGTAGTGTGCCCGTGTGTCCCATGGAAGACACAGTATTTGCTAGTATCCCCTCTTGTCTGGATCTCCTTTCAAAGGTGGCGGTCTTCTTACCCAAGATTTGTTATTCACTTGGGCTAAGATTTAATGTATGGGGATGGTGAACTTGGTGTAGTTCTCTCCTGCTGTAGCGTCTCCTTGTGGGTGGGACCTGCGCTTATCCTTATTCTTGTTGCTAAATCCATCGCTTCTTTGATCTGCCCGCTTAGTCGGTTGATCTTCCTGCTTAGTAGACTTTTTTGCTGCGATTCAATCGTCATCCTAGAGCGCGTAGCGTTCCGCGGTCGTGTAGACCTCTGCCAGAGTCTGGCTAAGAGTGATAGTCAGCTCGCGGTACAAGTCGTGTTCAGCTGGAAGGCCTTTCTTGAAAGCAGATGACGCGATTCGATTGTCGCATCCTACAATGTTGGCCTTTTTTGCTTTGAATCTCTTGATGTAATCTCGAAGGGATTCATCAGACTTCTTGCGCAGGTTGTACAGGTGGTCAGGATTTTTCTTGATTGTTCGGTAAGAGGTGTACTCTTTGGTGAAGACGTAAGCCAACTCCTTGAAGCTGTTGATCGACCCAGATGGTAGGGTGTGGAACCAATCTTGGGCTTCTCCTCGCAAGGTCACTACGAATACCTTGCACATCAACGCGTCGTCGGCCTTGTGGAGGATCATGACACTTTTAAAGTGTTTTAGGTGGCTCTCGGGATCGGAATCCCTTTTGAAATGGGTAAACGAAGGAGTTGAGAACCGCTTCGGGGGAGCAGCTTGCTCGATTTCGGCCGTGAAAGGTGTGGAGTTTGCCTGGTCGATCTCCTTACGTAGTACATCTTCGAAATTCCCGCCGATCTTCAAGTCTCGAAGTCGGTCATTCACAAGCTTTTCTACGTCCTCCACACACATTGCTGGTCGGTCTCGTTGGCGACGCTAATTGACCTCCTCCTGGGTCTGCGAGGGTCGACCTTCTCGTCTGCGCTGCCTAGGCAGCGTGTTGGTGGACTGCGCTTGCGAGAGATTCTCCGTAGCTTGTCAACGAGAACCGTCTCTTCGAGAGTGAGCAGCGGAGCATCTTTCCTTGTGGTCCTCATTGTGAGGATTATCCGGTTAACCACCCTAGGGACCTAGCCTCTCGTGAATGCTCCTCTGCGAGTGGACAGCTGAGCGTCTTTCTTCACGATCCTCGTTGTGATGGTTGTCTGGTTGATCTCCCTAGGGGCCTAGCCTTTGAAGTACATTTCCCTACGGGCGTGGACGTCAAGTCGTAGGCCTAGCCTCTCGTGCATGTTGTTCCTCAAACTTAATCTGCTCCGAGTGGGGCTCGCAGATGCTTGTGACATGTCGGTAGGCCGATCAAGTTGTTGTCCCTCGCCTTGTCTGCCCACTCCTGCTCGACCTGCTGGGTACCCGTTGAGCTGCCTGCCGGTGTGTTCGTCCATCCTTCTCTCTTCCCCCAGTTGTCCAATGCCAAAGTTTTGAGCCAAGCTAATTTGGTGGAGGAATTGCCTCATCAGATCGCTTTGGTCGTCCATTCTCTTAGCTAGCTGGTCAACTCTCAGACTAAGGTCTGCTTGATTTCGTGAATCGAGAGGAGAGAAGTGTGTGGAGCCCAATTGCACAGGGCTGGCCCTCCTGGATGAGAGGTTCCACCATGTTTGGAGGCGGTGGCCGGTGCGGTGGTGAGAGGTGGTGGTGCCACCATGTTGATTGCGGGACCGTGGGTGGAGTGGCTTTGGGCCGTTGCGGATTTAGCCATTGCGGCGGTTTTGCCTCTCGTCTTCATGCTTCCAACCATGATTGTTTGGAAGGCTTCGGTGGATTAGAAAATAGGAGGAACGGATTCCTTGAGCACGCGTTGGGTATAACTCGTGCTCTCAATGAAAGCACCAATTTGTGTGTACAAATTTCCCCACGAGAATATTCGGTTGCAAAGATTCCTTTTCCTTCTCCGCCTCGTCTTTCTCCCTGTAAAATAGAACAAATGAGAGGGCCACACATGGGGGGTGTTGGCCAAAGGCCCTCCGATCCCTAAATTAGTTCAATTGAATTGTATAGAAAACAATAGCTAATAGGGTACGAAGATGTGTTTATGGTGTAAACCGGGCAGCCGGAGCTTTATGTAAAAGAGAGAGAGAGAGAAAAGAGGTGGCTAGGGTTTGAGAGGAATTTTCTGCAGAGTTTCAGACATACCTCAACCCTTGTGTGTGGCTATGCTTTTATAATGGTCTTGGAGGCTAGGGTTTCAGAGAAATAATTCTGTAGATGGAAGGGAATTATTCCTCCCCTTTTTGGAATTGATTTGATTAATTAGGGATTTGATTTATTAGGGTAAATCAAATCCCTAATTGTGGTAGGTATCAAATCAAATCCTAATTCAATTAGGTAACTCCTCATTTAATTGGGAATCGTGGTAATTAACCAAATCAATTCTTAACCCAATTAGGCAACGTTCAATTTAATTGGGTAATCCCCAATTAAATTGAGTAACTCCCAATCAAGTTAATTAATTCTCAATTAGGTCAAATAATCCACAAATGGAATAAATTATTTGACCTAGGGTTTTGATTTAATTTGACTACCACAGGTGGAAAAACAAAAAAAATATTGCTATGGCAGGCACTATTCATGTGAATAATGCCTACCCTTGCTTGCCCTTGCCCTTTGCCATCACACCATGGGAGAAAATGCTCTTAGCCATAAAAAAAAATATATAAACCAAGCTTTTGGGTTGTTGAATAATCCACAAAAATTGATTCAATAACAATTTCCACTTCTTTGTCAAAAATTTAACAATTCCATCATTTTGTTTTAAGTTTCTCAAATGCCGCATTTGAAAATATCATCCAGTTCTGATCCTTTTGTTGACAGGATTTTTGGTATCATATCAGCAACAAATGTTCATGCTGCCTAGTAGCAAAATCCCAATGCGGGTACTTATGAATCATGTTATTTTGTTGTAGACTGAGATCTCAAATAAGACTAGTAGTAGTGGATTATATAAGCCTTCACTCGCCTATACAAGAATCAAGCAGAGCTAGCTTGGTTGTACAAAAGATCATCTCTCCAGATAGCTGTTACCTTACACAAATTTGGTTATCTTGTTTCTTTCTTTTGTGTTTGTGCTAATGCAGCCAAAATATTACCCTAAACATTACAGACACTTCAAGCAACTCAACTGCAAAAGAGATTCTTGCTTCTGCTCAGAAGAATGATTCATCCAAACCCACTCTGTACAACTCTACCTGCAAAATGATAAAGATATGTTAAATGCCCCTTCTGTTTTTTTTTTTTTTTTTTTTTTTAAACTTTCAAAAAGCGTTTTTGCCTTTCATTTTCTTCATTATTATATGGTTACCCTGTAAAAGCGTTTTTCTCACTTAAATGCAAACAAAGAATCCGTCAAAATGTTTTAACTATCCCCGCTATTAGTTTCCAAGCTTTGAACCAATCAATTTGAATAGTAGCAAGCTAGCCGTGCAAGCAATTCTATGCATTATGTCATATCACTAATTAAACACTCATTCTTTAAACTGAAAGCTATGGGTGTAAAGAGAATATATCCTTCCAGTCATGGCTTATTTGATGAATTTCACAATTTATATTCCCGATCCTTATATGCATACATCTTGATGTTTTGTATAGAAAAACTTAACATCAATCTTCAAGAAAGCCGCTTTGATTTACTAAAATGAATGTGTTTTTGAGAATACATCATCAACCACATGCAACGACAGAGCAAACACAATAAAATCATACCTTTGCTTTGTCCTGATATTACTTCTCGTGGATGCAGAAGTATGACCTCTTTTATCTTTCGCGTTGCTTTTCTTGGCTTTGGATTTTGAGGCCCCTGTCATATCATCAGTTCAGTGCAAATGTACAATACAACTATGTTAAGAAAAAGCTACGGTTGCTTACTTAAACTACCTCTTATGTTAACATTTGGCGATTGAACTTCAATATCCCCTGGTTCTGATTCTGTCAACTCACTAGAAGTACCGGAATATTCTTTTGACTTAACAAGTCTAGATTTTGACATTTCATCTACAGACTTGGTCATCCCTTCAATAGAAGGATCAACGACTTCCCCATCTGTTTCTATACCAAATACCCAAGGTTAGACACTAACCACAGAAATTCAGAAGCATAAAACATGCATGGAACAAATTCTTTAGTACGACATCCACTGAGTTCAGCATGCCACAGCAACGACATCCATCAAAGAATAAAACAATCCTAAAATCTTGAACACCTTGATAAACTGTGAAGTCTGAAGGACCAACTATCGTGTTTGATCCTCAGAATTGGAAGCTTCTTCAGAAATTATCATAATTCGATATTAGAGCACCAAAGCATAATCAACACCAAGCATAAGTTGATTTCGTGCTTATAATTATATTCCAATTCCATTGGTTATTACAGTAACTTGATTAAGCATAAATTGATTGCACTAACCTTCAGAAATATCAGATTCTGAACTAGCATCACCAGCGCTGCTAGTAACCACAAAACCTTCCATGCTGCTTATCTTTTGTTGATGAATTTGGGCATTTCTTGCTGTCACTTCTTGTTCCTTCTTTTCCAAGTGTAACTTGTTCAGCTTATCCTCAAACTCCTCAATGCACATTTTAACTTCTGGTTTTGCAAACTTCTTGCCCTGTTTCAGAACAATTGTAAGAAAAAGAGAACTGAAGAAGATTTGATAATTCTATAAGAGGAGACGATTCAATACCTTGTTTATTATGTTTCTAAAATGGTCCATCACAGAATCCTCCGATAGGACGTGTTCATATGTCTTGAATGACTCTATGAGTTTTTTCATTCCCTTTTCAGTGAATGCCAGCTGAGATAGGCAATAAGAAATATATTCCCATTGTCTGATATCTGCAGCAATAGAGTGGCCCAAAACCAAAAAAACTACCTTTAGTGAGAAATTTGAGTAATGGAAAACATCAACAATAACTCAATTTCCTAAGACAGCATTGGGAACAGACTTCAATTGTTGAAGAAAAACACGAAAAAAGTGTTGCTCTGACATTTCAGAAAACAATAATTACAGATAGGGTGTTAGTAGCTTCCATATCCTAGGCATGATGTTACATATAACAGGCCTCATCAACTAAACCAGGGAATACTGTAACAGCCTTCTGGTCTTGGAATATCATTACTAAGCTTTATCATGTGGAAATAAGACTCAAACAGACATGGATAATAAACATACTACAGTTTATTTTCCCTTCAACTTTCTAGAAGGCCCTGCAGCCCACAAATAGAAGGGGAATAAGCATCACACATCGCTGATGAAGTCCATACTTAAGTACGCACACCTCTTTTAAACAAAACAAACCAAAGGGAAAACTGAAAAAACCAGGTTTCACAAATCACTGTCTCATCAGGAACAGTCAACGAGGTAAATGTGAAAACTTGCGATGATCAAATAATGCTATACACTAAGCATATGCTTAACACAAATAAAGGTCATTATCATTTTGCACCCTAAATTGTATGACTGCCATAAGTTCAAAATTGGCAACACAAAAAGAACTACCAAATCATAATATTTTTTCAAAAAAAGGGGAAGGAATACCTGTAACTCCACTAAACCTATTGCAAAGCTTTTCAACAAGAGCTTCCATTTGCTTGTCCTGGAGAAATACCCAAATAACATAATACCTTAATAGGAAACAAATAATTGCTAAAGGAACCAAACTGAAATAAATTGTACCTTCTTGATGGAACCAATCAAGAACTGCATAATGTTGCAAAAAGACTCTCTCTTCAGATTCTGGTTGGATAACTTTCCAAGTATATCTGGAAGCAGATTATATATAGGATTGCTACCTGTAGCAAAAATTGGGGTGGAAAAACCTTACTCTTTATCTAGAAGGAAATTCTACAAGAACAAAAGATAAATGATAGTGTCAAAACAGAGTAACTGGATGCATATCAAAGTTTACCTTTCTTAGATAACTCATTAAAAAACAGTTTTGCCAGGTTTGAAATCCTCTCATCTTCATCTTCTAATCGTACAGCCATTTCATTTATGTAGCCTTTAACCTGATCAAGAAATAGCCAAAATTAGAGACCACCTATCATAGCAAAATAAAAAGAAGAAGCAGTATTGCCAAGCCCCTCAAACCTTCATCATGTCATTTAGTATAAGGTGTGAAAGCACCAAAACAGCATTCTTCCTAACAGAAGCTGAAGGGTCTTGTAGCCTGGAATACATATTCTCTGTCCATGGTTCTAACAGATTAGGGAACCGAACAGCCAAGTCTCCAAGACAAATAGTGCAATTAGAACGAACAATTTCTGATGGCGCACTCTCCACGACTGTGAAGAGAAGCTGAAGATTTGCATCACTGGAAATTACACTTACAAGTCAGAGACCATGTTTGAATGTTCTAAATGAATCCATGCCCACCAACAGAGAGAGAGAGAGAGAGAGAGAGAGAGAGAGAGAGAGATCTCACCAGAAATTTGCATCAATAATCATAAACCGACATAAAGCAAGCATTGCAGACACTTGTAGTTCTGGGTACTGAAAGGATATGGCAGTTAGTCAATCTATTGAATTAGTTATAAATGAAAAAAAGAAGAAGAAGATATAACTAGGAACATACAAACTATACAGAAGTGCACTTTGTACTGTCTAAATTTTAATAATAATAATAATAATAGATACACACATACTATATTGTAACTATATACAGGACATCCATCCAAAGTTTTTGGAATTAAAAATAAAAATTAATACATATGATCTTATATGTTCAATCACCTCCAGAAAGGTATTTTTCTAATATTGACTAAACATTAAAGGATGAATTCATTAGCATAATTCAAATGTCGTAGAAAACAAAAGAAATTTCCATTTCCACGTACACTACTAGCCAATCCTCTGTTTTTCTTTTTGGGTAGGAGTGAGGGTAATGACTGAATTATAAAGAATTTGATCATAAATTCAAGTGTTGTGGAAAAGCAAAGAAAAGCAGGGGAATCACCTTTTGCATTAAACTAAAATTTCTACAAAGTTTTGACAAGAATTGTGAACAATGTCCAATCAAATTCTTGTCAGTGGAACCCCCACAAACTATTTCCTTTTCTGCTTTTTCAGAGAGTGTGTCAAGTAGTGCATCTTCAGAAGCAGCAAGTCCAAGCTCAGCATTGATACCATTTTCCTGTAGGATGGCACCAAAGAAGAAAAACATTTAAATGTACAATATATGTTATAGCACCAATCAATTTGGAAAAGAATACTGAATAGTTGCTAATAACAGTACCCTATTTCATTGATGATTCTAATCAAAACCAATCTCACCTTAGGGGTACCGTTACCGTGCTGATCAGTATCTGTCTTCTCTTTCCGAATTTTCTGTTTCTGAACTTTCCGAAGGCATGATTCAATGTATACCAGATGGTTCATGGCAATATGACTTATGACAAAGAGATATCTACTAAGTTTTGCAACCTGAACTGTGGTAAGTATGCCAGCACTACCACTGGTGATTTCACTCTGCAACTCCTCACCTCCACTACATTCAAATACAGAACTTAGGGATTTCTTCACTAGATTGGAAGCTAAAGTTTCCGGAGTTGGATGAATTGCATATATAGCAGCTATGGCTTTGTCAGCAGCAGCATACCATATGTTTTCTGGAAGCCAAAACCCAGTAACTAAGCTCTCTAAAATACTAAAAACCCGGCTTCCATTACTAGACAACAACTTTTTCCTATCTTCTTCAGACAATCTCTGGAGAGCAATGCATGCTGTCCTAGCAAGTAAAGGTTCCATCTTAGCCCAACGACCAAACCCAATATCAATAATGTCCTGTAAATGAGAGCCAAGAACTATACTGGATGATTTTGCTGCCATGCAAAGGACAGACAACGCACCACGACTTTGCTCGGCAGTAGTTCCACTTACGTTGAAGCAAAAGAAATCCCACAATGCTGATATCTGCAAAAACAAACACCTTGTAAGAAAGTTGGCTCTTTAAATAATGGGGAGACAGAATAAGAGATTTCAACACTGAGAGGAGATTTTTGGCTTTTAAAAATTGGTGAAAGATTTCAAAACTGAGTTGACTGAGAAGCACCACTGAAACATGTGAAAAAATAACATAGACCCATATTCTAAAATAGATACTGAGGTTGCCTTTTGGTATGAATCTTTTTTTCCTCATCTGTACTAACTGTGGAAATCACAATCGGATTCCATTTTATGTGTATGCATATACTTGCTTGTTTAGACTAAACCATGCAGGGAAAATATAGCTGCACATGATAGCAAGCCTACTACAAAGTTTTTATAAGAACCCACTTGGTAAAGGGGAATGGAAAACCCTTTTTTCTTTATTAAAATCACTTTATTTAAAATGTCAACCGAGTCATAAAGTTTTACATATTTAATATTTGGGTTAGTAGACATTTTATATTAACCCAGGTATTACAAACATGCCACCAAAACAATTTTATAATTTACTTGAAAATACTTGGCTTGGCTTCTACTTGCCTAAACTGATCTTTTTAGACCCATAGTAGAGTCAATTCTGGCAAGCTGAAAACATCAAGAACATGCGTATCTTTTCATGCAAAATAAAAAAATTATTATCACATAAATAGAAGCTTTCAACAAACTTAAGCCAGACTGTGAGAACTGAAAAGGACATACCGCACCAGTGGATATATCACCTTTAGACACCAAGGCACCAACTATAAACTCAAGAGCAGCTAGGTCTCCAATATTTGATTCTGTGGCAAGATTCATAAGATTCTTGGCTGTTTCTACTGGGCTTTTCTTTATATAAATTGTAATGAAAGCATTTTCCACAGCTTCATAGATGGATTTGTCCTGAGAAAATACCTGCAAAGCCGAGACACATTTAGGATCCTATACATCTCACGAACCAGCCAACAATCAAATCTAGAGTTTGTTAATCGAGATTGAACAAATAGGAAAATTATTGACCCAAATAAAACATTGCATCATTATTTCTAGAGCTTGAGTTAAAATAAAAACATACCAGTGGCAGCATCTTACGGAGACATGCTTCTGAGGCATCAATTTGAAACTGCTTGCACCTCATTAGCAAATGTATTGTGTTCTCAACATCAGTCGCAGAAGACGATGCCATCAATTGAACAAGTGTTGGTATTGTGGCAGATATACACTTTGAAAACCTTAATCCAGCCTCAAGTGATGCTACCAAGGCCCTAGTCTGCTCTAAGTTCCCTACATCTGGCACAGAGCCATCTTTCTGCACTATATTTTGTTCCATATCAGGCAAGCAACTATCAGGCAAACTGTCCTGCTGCTCCTTAGTCACATCTGCATCTGCATCATCAACCTCGCTATCTCCAGTAGTACAATCATCAGATGGTAACCTGTTCTTTTCACTTTCTGAAGATATATCTGGTTCAAGCTCTTTCAGCTTGTTCTTGTACTGTTGTAAGGTTGCTTCAAACGAAGCTATTCGAAGTTGTGGACCAAATGGGTTATGCTGTAACATCATAATAAGCAAATTTAGTGCAGATTTTCTAACCATTGCACTCTTATCCTCCAACCTCCCAGAAGCAACTTCTGCAAGCTCATTCCACAAGCCAATTGAAACAGAATGCTCTTCACATAGTTCAGTCCAAACCTGAAGAACCCGACTCCTTGTATAAGCTGAAACATCTCGACACCGCTCAAGCAAAATTTCCAACATGGCATGCTTGGTTCGAAGACGAACAGATTTAGAACTCACTTCACCTTCAACATCCTGAAAAGCCTTTGCAACAAGCTTTCCCAAGACCCCAACAAGAGCATTCCTTATCTTATAAGATTCCCCACCAAAATGTGGGACAATGAGGCCAATGTTGGTAGACACCAGTTTAGGTAGCCGATCAGAAAGTTCCACCAAAAACCGACCAACATTTTCAGCCCCAACAGTATCCTTGATGTAGTCTTTTGGATTCGTCCTCCCTATTTCTCTGATAAGAGAACTGGCTAGACTTCCATCTGCATACTTCTTCTCTGCCCCAGCAACCGCATCAGCAATGTGGGTAACAACAAAATCATATTTGTGAACTAGATGCATGATCGATGCACATGATTGTGCCATGTACTGGTATTTTGTGGCACAAGTCCCAATTATACGACACAAAGCATCTTTTGTGTCGGTGTCTTTCAAAAGTGCAGCATTCTCAAACAGAGAAAATGCATTTCTACAAAACCCCAAATCAAGAAGGGAAAAAAAATCAATTTGTAATTAACCAGAAAGAAAATCTATAAAACTAAATCTGATTGAATTGTAGCAGTTATCCAACTTACTTGGCAATGAACGAAATAAAATTTTCTTCCAAGCCTGATGAACCAAAGAGCAAGGCAAGCTTGATCTCTAATGAATTAGCAATCAAATTAAGTATGCGGCCTCTTTGTGGCTCCCAATTCCATGTGTTCTTAGGATGCTTCTTCCTGGTACTTGCTGTGACCTAAGTCCAAGCAAAAGGCTTCAACATCTTGGCACAAAAACTGGCAATATCGCACTCAATATATACATGTTTATAACATTTAAATTTATGTGTGCATGCTTGCACACAACATATACCGTGTTAAAGTAGTAGAAACAAATAGAGAGCGAGATAAAGAGATCTGTAGGAAAAAGAAAACACCTTCACATTGTTGTTGGAAGTGATGTTGGACTCCTCTGTGAGAACAACAGTAAGGAGGAAGAATGTGTAGATTTTAAAAGCATTACGATGTGATGCAACCCGATCCAGCACTGGAGTGACATCATCCTGACCTTGAGAAACCCGTGATAGTGAATCAACATTTGGGAGGAGAACACTGAGATTGGACCGAAGACTGTCTAGAAGATTAACCTTACAAGATGGGGGTAGATTATTGTAACCCCGAATCAATGAGTACACACGATCAAACACATCTTGCTCTTCAATACAAAATAGCTCCTTATCGGAGAGATCAAAGGATATGCCTGTTGGTGCCACAAAGGAAGACAAATTCAAAAACTGCAAAATTTTTAATCTCCTCATACTTAGTTGTTCTTGTAATTAGAGTATTTCATTTAAATCAGATAATACAGTTGACTGTTTGTCCTCTTATATTTGGGATCAGAATACGCGCATTCTCAGTCCTGCTTCCCTATTAGAATTTAAAAAAGAAAAAAGAAAAAAGAAGCCATGCATACATGGTTTTGCAAGCAGATACATCAATTTTCCATATAGCCAAAAAATGTGAATTTCCAACTCCAGGAAGCCAATAGTTACAATGATTCTTGCTTAAAACCCAGGAAAAAAATGTATTTGTTAGAATAAATAAATTCAGCAAATAAACACAAAATTCAGCTAAATCCATTCTCGTTGGTTCAATGTTCTTGAATTCAGTTTGAATTTCAAATGTTTCTGCTTTTCTTACTAATCCCCACCACACTTTACCTTTTTCTATGGTTTCCTTAACAATAAAATCAGCATCTACTTGGTTGACTTGACACTTGAGGTGACCAAATGCTAAACATTCAGAATTAACTGAACCAGAAAATTATAGGACAGGGATCCACTTCTTATGCACATCAATTTCTTTAAAAATCAGGACTAGTGAAACAGTATAATTTGGAACTCGGAAGGTGAATTTTATCGGCAACCAAACGGATGTTAAAATTGGAAAATGCGGTAGATTTAGTGAAACTGCGTGAGAGAGAGAGAGAGAGAGAGGGAGATACCTTTGACGAACTCTTCGAGTTGAGAGGGACGAAGAGAAGCGATGTCGAGCGGGTTCCGAGCGTAGAGGCGATTGTCTTCGTGTTCTTCTTCTAAGGCTCTCAGGCTTTGGGGAAACACAAAGGAAGGAGCCATAACACACAGCCTGAGAAGGTCTCTACGCTATTTGCTTCTTCTAATTTGCTCCCTCTCTCTCTCCACAGATTTCAAATGCAAATGAAAATTTTTGAACGAGCGGGAATTTTTCGAAGAGAAAAAACCACAAATACCCCCGCGGCTGCGCCACGTGGCATACCCGTTTTGGGCATGGTAAGGAGCCCAATGCTTAGCTGCCACATGGCATACCAGCTCAATTTGGGTGATGACTTATTTTTCTTTTTCTTTTTTTCAATTTCAAATTGTGAAATTACCCTATGCATAGGATTAGGGCTGGCAATGGGTCGGGTCGTGTCGTGTTCGTGTAGTGTCGGGATATTAAACGTGTCAAGAATGCTCAACTCGAACCCAACCCATTTAATAAACGTGTCGTGTCGGGTTCGGGTAGTCTTTTATCGTGCGGGTTTCGAGTCGTGTAACGGGTTGATAAATAATAACATGCATGTTACAAAAGTCATAACTGAAAAAATTTAAATAAAAAAAACAGAGAGAGGAGAGAAAATATAAGGAAAAGAAAGAAAAAAAAGGATAGAGAGAGGAGAGAAGAGAGAAGGAAAACAAAAAAAAATAGAGAGAGAGAGAGAGAAGAGAGAAGGAAAGAAATAAAAATAAAAAAGAGAGGAGAGAAAACTAAAGAGAAGGAAAAGAAAGAAAAAAAATAAGAGAGGAGAGATAACTAAAGAGAAGTAAAAAAAAAAGAGGAGAAAAGAGAGAGGAGGAGATAGACGGAAAAGAAAGAAAAAAAAAAGAAGAAAAAGAAACATTATAAATATCAAAAAGCATAGTATATAATCACAAAGTTGTATCAGCATGGTGGATAAGGTGTTGGAGAGTAATGAGGATGGAGGGGGTTTAAAACCCCATATGTGTGTTTTGAAGTCTCTATTTTCCTACATTTTTTCGCGGGTTGGTGTGTCTTATACAGGTTGACACGACCCGTTTAATAAACGGGTTGACCCGAAAATTACCCAATTATTAATCGTGCGGGTTCGAGTCGTGTTTTTTCCGTGCGGGTTTTGAGTCGTGTAACGGGCCGG